TCCCCTAGAACCAGCAGAGCCGCCTTTTTGTTTTGATATCTCAGGCAGAAGAACGGGCTCAAACAACGAGGGGGGGGGTCCTGCCGAGGAAGACCAGGTATGGGTTCAATTTCTGGGTTGCCGTGTGATCCCTCGAAGGTTTTATCTGATTTGCTTTGGGTCCATGAGCCTCAAAGAGGTCAAAGGTCGCTGCTCTCTGTTTGTTCCTAAAGTCGAGGCTAAAGCATCTAGTAGTTCTTTTGGTTTTAGTTTCCGGATCATCCTTCCTGAGGACCCCAGGGCAGGTGGGGGCATTTAGTAAAGGACAGCCCTTTTAGTAAAGCTTTTATTAGGATCCATGACTAATGTTTCACTCACATTTATTTCCTTTTTAGTTTCTTATGTTCAATCAACTTGGATCCTTTCCTGATTGTTTTGTTCATTTGTTTTTTTATAAGCAATTGATTTTAATAATTAAAATGATCATATTTCAATGTTTAACTCGTGTTTTATTCTGTTCCTGTGATGTATTTATCTAATAATATTCTTATATTGTATCCAGTTTACTTGCTTACGTTTAGAGGCTGTTTTGTGTATATTTTTGCGTATGTTTGTGTGACTCATGGGATTGTGGTTTTTCTTATTTTCATCACTGCTAATTTTTTCGTCTTTGCTGTTTTTTGTAACATGAAGCCCTTTGTGTTGCATTTTTATAAGAAAAAGGTTGATCGATTTGAAAAATGCAGCACGGTTTTTTTAAGCTACTTCCCGGCTTTATTCAATCATCTGGATGTTCAAATATTCCATGTGTGTTGGTTTAAAACGATCTTTCATTCATTTACTAAGTGACGTATCTTGATGCTTGTAGAACAACTAAAACAACTGAGTTCAGATTCACTAAAAGAGGATTTTTAAATAAGAAACTGCAAAAAAACTTTTTTTCTCTTATTTACTTTGCTGAAATAATTTAAGATTAAAAATTGAATATGAGGTATAATGAGGTAATTACATACGATTAAAAGTCACATTTTTTCATTTTTTCCCCATAACAAACAATAAATATTCTGAATTGTCACTTTACATGCGTTGTAAAGACAACGAGGCACCAGAAGGACTCGGCTCAAAGTTGATTTTGTTACAAGGTCCCACCCACAATGACTGATCCCCTTCAGAGCCCCCGGATCAGAATTATGCTCATAACCGGGCTGATTTTGTTAGTTATGGCAGCCATTGTGGTTCCTTCCTTTCTCCTTCCTTTCTGCTCAGCTGCATTTCCTGTTTGGCCTTACACATTCGTGTCGACTCAGCATAAAAACCGAACGAAAAACGGTTAGCTTAAATGCACGCCATCCAAGAATCTGGTCTTCGTGTGTGTCATCACGTTCTGTTTTTTACAAACGTTTTCTCTTAGTTCTGGATCACCCAGCTGGGCCGACGCTCACGCTGGCTCCGCTCATCGTCACTGTCTCGCGATCTGCTTTGAAAATGAATCATTTCAAGCCAAAACTCCCACAATCTTAACCGACCTAAAACTGGAAGCCTGCACAGCTCGAGGGCACCAAAACCGGACCGGACAGTTATCCTACATGGATCATCTGTCCACTCATATAGCCTCTGACTTGGAAAAATCCTCCACCAGCTACTCGTACAAGCTCAGAAAAGACTATTTATCCTCCATTTTCTCACCTGGCATGAGCAAATTTTTTGATCTTAAGAATCAACCGAGCAGGTTAACGTTTTGGCACAGACGTGATTCAAAATGCTGACGAGCGACCCCACACGTTCGCCTCCCACAGATCGTCTCCCTGACCGTGCACGTGAACACCAGGGGATCGAACGATGGCACGGCACCGGACCTCGTGTTTCAGAAACAGGAAGTCCAAAGTCCAAAACCCAGATCAGCTCGGCCCCCGTGTGCGGCCGGCTGGCGACAGACAAAGCGAAAGAGGCCCAACCGAGCCACCGTCCACCCCACCGGTCCCGTCTTCTGCCTGTGGACCGACGCCAGGACGGGGTCCAACTCGATGTACGGCTCCCTTTTCAATTCAATCCAATTCAATTTTATTTATATAGCGCCACATCACAACAACAGTTGTCTCACAGCGTTTTCCAAACAGAGCAAGTCAGACCCTACTCTGAAGTTAACTACAGAAACCCAACAATTCCCACCATGAGCAAGCACTAGGCGACACAGGCAAGGAAAAACTTCCTTTTAACAGGCAGAAACCTCGAGCAGAACCACGGCTCAGGGTGGGCGGCCATCTGCCTCGGCCGGTTGGGGGAGAGGGAAAGAGAGGGCAAGAGAGAGAGGGCGAGAGAGAGAGGGCCGTTTGAGGAGGTTAGCTCCTCAAATGGGGTCTCTAAAGACAATGTAGCAACTGAAAAGAGGCTGCGGTTAGCTGGTGTGGTGGTTAGCACCATCACCTCCCAGAAAGAGGGTTCTGGGTTGGAGTCCCCGGGGGAACCAGGACCAGAGGGTTCTCCGGCTTCCTCCCACCGTCCAAAAACCTGCATGTTAGGTTGGTTGGACTCCAAACTGCCCTTAGTGGGACTGTGTGTGGTTGTTGGTCCTTGTGTGTCTCTGTGTGTCCCAGTGACCGGACTGGGTGACCCCGCCTCTCCCCATTGGCTACTGGGATAGGCTCCAGTCCCCCCCCTAGACCCCATTAGTGAATAAGGGGTAACGATAATGGATGGATGGATGGATGGATGGAAAGAGGCTCAAATGGTCCAACATTGAGCTGTTGGTTTCTGATACGCTCTAGATCAGGGGTGGGCAACTCCGGGCCTCGAGGGCCGCCGTCCTGCAGGTTTTCGAGGTTTCCCAGCTTCTGATTCACACCTGATTCAGATCAAACTGATCTCTACTAAAGGCGCTTCAGCTCTGAACGGGACTGCTGATGTTGTGTTGATGTGAATCAGGTGTGTAGAAGCAGAGAAACCTCTAAAACCTGCAGGACAGCGGCCCTCGAGGACTGGAGTTGCCCACCCCTGCTCTAGATGTTCGCCCCCCCCCCCCGGCCCCCCCGGCGTGGGCCTACCTGTGGCAGGGCGATGGACAGCTGCCTCTGCAGGGACTCCTTCTCGTGGCCCAGCTCCCTGAGGCGGAGGTGGGCGGTGCCCAGGCTGTCCTGCGTCTCCCTCAGGCTCTCCAGCAGCCGCTCCCTCTCCGTCAGCATGTTCACCATCAGCGACTCCAGGTTCCCCGTGCTCCCCCCTTCGTCCCCCCCCCCCCCCCCTCCCCCACCTCCTCCTCCTCCTCCTCCTCCTCCGCGGGCTTCCCGGTTGCCGTACCCCGCCGCGCCGCCCGCACCCCCTCCTCCCACGCCGCCGGCCGGGGAGGACGAGCCCCCGCCACCGCCCCCCCCCCCGCCGCCGCCCCCCCCCCCCCCCCCCCTCGGAGATGGGGGGCATCACCTCGCACATCATCCTGAGGCCCGGTCGGTGCGAGAGCCGTTACCTGGGGCGAGACGCCGACCCCTCCTCATGAAAAGTACCACCAGGGGGGGCGGGGATTGGGGGGATTGGGGGAGTCGGGGGGTTGGGGGGGGGAAAAACCCGGGGACGGCGTGGCACCTCCAGCCGGTTCGGGGGGAGCCAGAGACAAAGTCGAGGGGTCCGGGGAGTGGGAGTGAAGGGACCAGAGGGAGAAGAGCAAGCTGGGCGGGTGACCTCTGACCCCCCCGGGGCTCCTAAGTTCAGGGAGCTGCCAGATGAACCTGGAGGGAAAGGAGAAGAAGAGAAGTGGGTTTTTTTTCTGAACACAGACTGAACAGAACATCCACTCTCCTCCGGCGTTGCTTCGATCCCACAAAGGAAAAAAATAATAATTTAAAAAACCCCACACAGACTTGCATCTGAGCATGCCGGGGCTTTCTGTATCGAGCCCTCTCCCTCACTCTTTGGCTCCTAATGGGAGCCATGAATGCGCATCATGCACGGAAACGAGAAACGAGAGCAGCTCCTGCCAGCAGAACGCTGTCAGCCGGATTCCGAAGAGCTGTCAGGCCCGGAGGAAGATGCTGCGCCGTTTCCAACATGAACGTGGATGAGTGGGGGGGTTGGGGGGTGTCATCATGAATTGTAATTACTGGATGTACCGGGAGAACGTATGCTTCTTTTTCCCACGTCCCCCCGGGGCCCCGTCTGTAAAATCACTCTATGGGTTTATTGTCTTCTTGGTGTAAGGAATGAAACCGGAATGCTGTCTTGATCAAATAACGGGCCCAAACGTGGGGGGAAAACAGCCCGTTTCGGTACGTGGACGGCTGCACAGGATAGCCTCACACCGCTATCACATCATGGTGGGAGGTGCCAATCATCCTGTAAATGATCCGGGGGCCTAATTAACGAGCCCCCCCGCCACAAAGATGTTACGCAATGGGCTCGTTTCAGGTGTTGCCTTCCACCTAAACGGCGAGCCGGGTATATTCAGACAGCAAGGCGTCTATTTCCTATCAACACCCCGCTGCCCCCCCCCTCACCACCCTGCCCCCCCCCCCCCCCCCACCCACAAAAACAGCTGGCCGGTCCAACGCCCGGCGCTGCGGATTCCGGGCCCAACCGCGCCCGTCTCCCGTTTCCATGGCCGGCCGGGGGGGGGGGGAAGAAAGGCGAACCGATCCCCGGTTCAGTCCACCCGAGCTTCTGAGAGACGGAGGCTGCAGGTTATCCCCGTTTCCAGCCCGGTTGCCAGCCTTCCCCCGTCCCCTCCCTCCCTCCCTCCCTCTCTCTCTGCTGGGGGAGCGACGGCGCGGATCAGCTGCTGCGTAAAGGCGCGCGCGGAGGCGCGCACAGCATCCGGCTGCCCCCCCCCCCCCCTACAATAAAACCTCCAGACAAACTGAGGTTTGACTGGCTTCCCTTTGACCTGAAATCCTCCTGTGGTTGCTGATTTTCTCTTTATGATAACACTGGATGCTCTAAAGGTTCAGACACACACCAGCAGACACACAAACACTCAACACAAAAGACAAAAAGTATCAAATCATTCAGTTATATTAGCATATCTTAATGTTGCCAATATGTACAATCATGCCACTAGATATTAAAAGTGTTTTAAAAATAGCAACATGAGGATGTTTTCCCTCCATTGTCACAAGTCATTAAAAGAAAAAATAGCTAAAAGAAGAGCTGGTAAGATTTAGATTGAATTCAAACGCTTGCATTCATACATTTGGCGTCATAATTAGAGTATTGAAGTCCCTCATTTAATAATTTTTTTCTAGTTAATTTGAAGATTGTTTGATTTTATTAATGACGCTGTATTCTGTTTGTTTAATATCAAAATTAAAAGAAAAACCTTGAAGCACAATGCTCCTCCTTGCTTTAAATCCGTTTCTAAATGAAGGCAAATCTTCTATTCACACTATAACGGGATCTCTAATTGGATTCAGACCAGACACTAAACACTAACCTTATTTTGTAAATCGGCACAGCTGTTTCCGGTTGTTTTTCTGGGGATTATGTGCAACTTTACGACTTCCAGTCGTTTTTTTCTCTCCCTCCTGAAGATGCTCTGTCTTAAAGAAACAGACTTTGACTTCTCATCCTCTCGCTCACCCGCTTTTTGATGATTTCTCTCCCCTGTCTGTCACTTCAAATCCAAAGCACACCCCCCAGGTCTGTGGTTTTAGTCCCAGTTTGTGTCTTTCTGTGGGGTGAAAACTTACCAGCATAAGTCATCTATTGCGTCGTCTGGCGATCAAACAGGGAACTACAGCACCTTTCCCTAAAGTGGTTTCAGGCCAAATTATTGGAAAGTCCATCTAAAATATAGATGGACTTTATGTTTTTTTTTTACAAACATCAGCTTTAAAAAACACTTAATTTTCATCTGAATTGATCTGTTTTTTTGTTTGTTTGGTAAAATAGAAAGAGCGGTGTTCTCCTCGGGGTGATGAGGTGGGAGGAGGTTCTGGAGATGATGTAATCCCCCCTCCAGAAAGCTTGAAGTGGAGACAGACTTAATCAGAGTTTTAATGTTTTATTTTCAGATTCAAGACAAACAGGACGTGATATCAGGCCACAGACCAGAAGTAGGAAGAGGTTTTTCACACGTCCAGGGCTAAATATTTGCCTCATAGATTCTAAAACGTGTTCATTCTTACCCACAAACTAATTGATCTTATGGGTTTCATTTGGATAAAGCTGCTGTGTACCCAGACACCCCGTTAAGAACCGGCTCCCGAAACCCGCAAAAGGCCCAAAATATCCGTTAAATAAAAAACAAACAGGTTTTCAATGGGATTTTAAGGCCTCTATCCCAGCATCTCCTCTCACATCCAACACCAAGACAATCTGGACTAAGGATAGTGAAGTAGTCCATCTAATTTGCTCATGTACTTTACAAATTTGGACTGGAAAAGGACAACAGATGGGGCCTCTGAGTGTAAAAGCCGCTCGTCTTAACCGAGTCCATCAGTGATCAGACTGGTCAGAGGAGGGGGAAAAAACGAGCCTTTAAAGACGGCGTTGTGTGATTTTATTCCAGAACGAGCGAGCAGAAGAAGAAGCGGGCGGTGGGGAGATGGAGAAAGCGGCCGGCTGGGATTTGGCATGGCTGCCTCACAGAGATCTGTTACTAAAAGCTCAGCACAACGGCAGGAGGAGGAGGCTCCATTTACAGAATTACAGCGTCGGCTCCTCTTCTGGGGATTGCACCGTGATGCTGAGGGAGGGCAGAAGTACTCAGGTCCTACGTGTAACTATGAGAATCAATTCAGATCCTGAAAGCGACTCAAAGCCAGCAGAGGAAGCTTTAAAGTCATTTAGTCAAGCCGAAGCCCTAATAACCAGTGTTTTTAGGATGGTACGGCTACTTTATGTCAGTTTGTTCAGGCTAATCGGAGGTGAGAAGTTTCAGGAAAGCAAAACAACAAAAAATCCTGAAAAAAAAACATTTCCAGCTTCTGAAACGTTGGACTTCAGCATGTTTAGATGGTCAAAACAAGCTGAAATGTTTGTGCCGGCAACACACTCGTAAAAAAAAAAAGAAAACGTTTTTTATAGTCATGTTTATGGCTCCGTTCCATCATCCCTCACTCCTTAATGGTTCGGGGGCTGAGGACGCTAATTGTTATGGTTTTCCACAACAAACTACAGTTTGGGCTCCTACACAGTCTGTGGACACACACACACGCACACACACACCGGCAGGACCAGGTCCCGCATTGTCCTGCTGAAAAAAAACACCCCCACTCCAAAAAAACCCCACTTAGATAGACACATTTGTGTTACTTTTTCCACACATATCAACACAAACCCTTTTGTTTTTCCCTCCCCATGTCTGTGTGGGATCTCCTTCTGCCCCCTTGCGACTTTACTGGGAATAACTAAAGGAAAATCAGATGAAAAACTGTTCAGAAAAATAACCTTCCGGTCTTTTCTGGTCCTTAATTTGACCACGGACTCTTCTGACCTTCGTGGAAGTCCAGAGCTCGTCCTGGAGATGTCTGTGTTTGGAGGAGCTGACAGTGATTGATGTGTGGCAGATGCCCGGGCGTCCAGAGGGGGGGGGGGGGGGGG